GGCCCAAAAGACTACTTGAGACTTAGGAAATTACATTTCATCCAAATTGAATAAATTATTTGTCACCTTATTTTGGGTTATTATTTTATTCCCTAAATAATTTTAGTGTTCAATTTAATTTCCAATTTTATATTTAGGGTTTCAACAATATTTGGGATTTACGGGAATTATTTTCCAACCCAAAATCAAATAGAAGTCACACGTAATTTTTTAGCACTATTTTTCCATTTATAAATGGGTTTTTATCATTTATGCCACCGGTTGTGTCCCACTACTCAATTTTGCCACTGCGAATTGCATCCACTCAAAAATGTCATCACTTTGTTAGACACATGCTCAAAAATGCCATTGGACACCATTATTGTGATCTCAAATCTTTTTGCCATGTTATAATGACACAAATACCTATGGACCAACATGCTATCTCTCCCTCTATCTCACTACAATAAAGTGTAGGGCCTACTTGATCCCGACAGCGTTCTTATTTCCTTGTAAAATTATTCGCTTGGTTACTCCTGACAAGTGGGGCCACACTTATCATTGTGCGATAGAGAGACCGACATGTGGGTCTAGGCTTATTTTTGTCATATAACAAGGTCAACGGGTTTGACGTGAAAATAACAATGTCTAATGGCATTTTTGAGCAAACATCTAAAGTAATGATGGCATTTTTTAGATATCTAATGGCATTTTTGAGCAAGCATCTCATGGATCGATGGTATTTTTGAGTAGTTGTAACTTCTAATGGCAAAAGTGAGTAGTGAGACACAACTTGTGGCATAAATGATAAAAACCCACTTTATAAATAATCCCTAAATGATTTGTGGTTGTGAATAATTCTCAAAAAAATGATCCACAAATGACAATCAAATCAATTAACTCATAGGGAGAACTAGCTAAGATCACGCAATCACAAACAATTTTTTTAAATTAATGAACCTTATTTTAGTTATTCACATTCCAAGAATTGAAAATCCTGAGATGTGACAATTATAGTAATAGAGGGAACAAAAACGTGATTGAAACAAATATTACCTTCTGATCTTGTATGAACACTACTGAGAGTATGAACCTCTTTTACAATGCTTGGCGGAATTGGATTACCTGCAAAAATAAAGTAAGGTAAAATAACTAATAACAATTATTTAAAATCGAACAAGAATACATAACACCAAGTTTCCCCCCAATACATGTCGACGTTTTGCTCTCTGAAGTAAGCACGGACTTAACCCTCTATGAGTGCAACACATGCAATTTTGAATTAACAACGAGAAGACTTTGTCTATATTTTCAATACCTTCTCTAATTATACCATTCTTCTTAATATTCCATTCACATTCTTTATCATGCCTTAGTTTGAATTCTCGAGTCACAGAATGTCTCACCTTCAAATATAGTATAGATCTATCATCTAAATAAATTAAATTTTGAAAATGTAAAGTATAATTTTTTTTTACAGTTTGTGGGTTATATCTTATGTGATTACTGAATATTTCATTCAAGATACATTGTGGACTTGTCGAAGGTAAGAAAATTGCACATTCTTTCAAACAACTTCAAAGTTTTTTATACTTCCATTATTCTTCAATGAACCCTCTGACATAATGTTATTGAAAAATCCAATTGATTGTGTTTTTCGGGCAACCATTGTTCTTTCAAACTTTTCAACAAGAAAGTTGTATGATCTCCTATCAATCATACTCCTCAAATAGCATATAGGTTTTGCCATTTCAATCTATAAGCAAGTACAACAAGATAGTTGTATATTACTTTTGATAAAATTTAAGTTGGACAACTAATTCAACAATGGAATACATGGCATGCACACATCATACATTGCTACACCATTTAGTGTTTTCTTGCAAGAGGAAATCATAAGATTTACGCGTCTCTTATCGGAGTTTGCAATCCTAGGCAAATTATTATGTCTCCTCAGTACAATTTGTACTTGATTATCAGTGTAGAACTTTTGCATACATAGTGTGTAGTCATGTTTAGAAGAAAGTGTTACCAAATGACCCATAATAAATTTCATATAGACCACCTTAAAGCATGCCTTCTCAACTTCACTTGATAACTCTGCTATACATCTGGCTAATTCTTTTCATGCTTGCTTTGATATGTGAGAATCATTCCCAACCACACATATATTACCCTTCAAGGAATCAATAGAAGCAGCAGTTGTCTGACTATGAACACCATCAATGTCTCTTGGTCCAGACGGAATACCAAAAACTTTGTGCATATCTCTAGAATAGAATTTCAGTTTCCTATTTTAAGATATTTTAATGCATCGATACTTCACACTTGTTGCACTTAAAAGAAATGTACTAAACTTAAGGTGTGTTTTTTTTATTTCAGGGAACTTCAGCAACCCATCAAATTTGATTTTCCAAAGCATATTTTTTATGTAATCCATAAACCTATTCAAAATTGCATGAACATGGTCTACCTTCAATCTAAATTCAGAATTACATTTTCATCCTCATTTTCTGCTTGAGCCATCTCCTTCCATGTAGTAATATCTGAATTGCTAGATTTTGATGTTCCACTTGCCGAATAACTTGACTTAGACGACATCTTTATATATCACTAAAAGATAAAATTAGTCAGTATACCAAATCAATAGTTGTATGTACTTATCAAAATGTTTATCAATGGTTAAACCTTCACAATTAAATTATCAGATTTGAACTACAAAAACATCTTACATTAATTTACATAGGGGGTAATATAATACGATATCTAATAAAAGTATATTTAATTCAACATACTGCTCTTCAGGTTCACGTTTTATATTTCAAAACTTATGATTATAGATTGAAGTAACATCAGTAGACGAAATAAAATTTTTCTTTCGTTAAGGCATCCAAGTAATTTGACAAAAAAGTTCACGTACTACTACACATCACCCTATTTAACATAATTGAACAAATTTTACAAGTAGTACATTTCAATTTGCAATCTAATATTGATCACTAAACTATCCGAAACCTTATATACTACTCCCTCGTTTCTAAATATAAGTATTTTTAGAGATTTCGGTACAGACTACATACGGATGTATATAGACATAGTTTAGAGCGTAGATTCACTTATTTTGCTCTGTGTGTGGTTTATATTGGAATCTCTAAAAGAAGACCTATATTTATATTTAGGAACGGAGGGAGTATATCCAGAGAATAAATGTTGTATCCATCAAGTCAAAAAAGTTAACTTGATAATATAATTTTAAGTTTCGGTCCCTCTAATATACTTTTTGCGAAAAGTATTAGATCTATTATAAAGATTTATCGAAAGTGCAAAACACCTCAAACATAATAAAAATTATATCAAGGTTCATGGACCACCTCATTGCCACCGCCAGAACGAGCCGCCAACGCGCTGTTGTCATCACTCTCATACCGGAGCCTGGTTGACCTTGTTGATGACAGTCGGAAAGTCTTCGTGCACGTGCTCATAAGGACCAACGCCCCGGAGTCGCAGTCGTCGTCGTTGAATCCTTGAATCGATCTGAAGAACCTGACACCAAATATCACCGTTGCGTACGCACGGCAAGAAATTTTAACCTCGCTGCCCCGAGGAGCTGGCAGGAATCTACGCCGGAGCTCCGTCTAATCCTTCTCAACGGACAAACTTGTGAAGGATCGAAACTCGGAAGATCGACTCGAAGAAGAAGCGCCGCCATCCGTCCAAATGCCGCCCCTGCAAGGACCAAAACCCCTACATATCCACTAACCGGATCCGAGGCACCCGAAATCCTCTCTCCGTCACCGACCGCCGGAGCGGCAGGCGAATCTACGCTCTCTTCGGTGGAGATCGAGGGGAGGAAGGCTTTTCCTAATCGCCTTGCGAGAGAGGTATAATTTTAATGGACGTCGATAACTACCACACGTCTCTAATGCAAATAGGTTGCCACGTCATCGCATGCATGCATGCGAGAATCTTTTTGAATTTTCAGTTTTTAAAATATTTTATCTCTTAAATGAAAAATCCGATTGAAGATCCGTTTTCACCATTAAATCCCTCGCGACGAGATCTTCAAAACTAGATCTCATACTGATATATTTCGGCGATTTTTTTTGTCAATAGTTGCCATGTCTATTGCACATGAATTGCCATGATATTTACACTGAAGTTGTCATGATATGTTTCAACTATTTTCTTTTACATTTAAAAGTAAATTTTAACATATTATAAAACGGAGATTAAGAAACTAGACCTGCCATGCACCATAAACTAAAATTGTCATGATACATGCACTTAAAATTGCCATGGTTCAATAAAAAAATATTTTCATGGTCAAAGTACTGGAATTGCCATCATAAAAAAATAAAATTGCCATGATCTACAAACTAAAAATGCCACATGGCAACTTTAGTTTAAGCACTATGACAACTATAGTGTAAACATCATGGCAACTTCTGGGCAAAAAAAAATTCATCGAAACGTATCAACATGGGGTCTAGTTTTGAAGATCTCGTCGAGACGGATTTAATGATGAAAACGAATTTTTAGTTCGCTTTTTTATTTAGAAGATAAAACATTTTTAAGCCGAAAACCAAAAAGATTTCTATTAATGTCATCTATTCATACGTGGCAAAATGAGTGGTGATGAAGACGTGTGGGTGATCTGCAAACGCCCACACGTGTGGGCGTTAGTTTTTCTGATATTAATTAAATCTAATCATACATCGTTTCGGTCCTTGTAATTTAACTTAACACTTATGTGTCTGTGTCTATAACCAACATGTTCATTCAAATTGTCTAAGTTTCTGTTTTCCCGAACTTAGAACACGTTTTACACTTAGTACATCCATTGTTATGTGCGTTATAACATATACATTCGACATCCAAAGATTCAATAAGTCCAAACATGGCGTGTTCATCATACATTCAAACGCGATCCGGTTGAGTAGGGATCTCTTAGTTCCAGAAACTTTGGCAATTTCGTACAGACAACAAAGAATTACAGGCAATTTCGAATTCACTGATGCTGCTTACTCACTTCCACTGGACTGCGGAGACACGGTTTGCTGCGACTGCAGCTGCTCTTCCTCCACCGTCTTGACCACGGCGTGGGTCACGGCGACGCTGCCGCAGCCGGCGACGTTCACGCGGCGGCACCGGTCGCCGCTCACGGCGCCGCACCGGCTGGCGTCGACGGCCCTGCACATCTGGACCTCCAGGCTGCCGCACCAGTCGGCGCGCACTCCCTTGCAGCGCGCCAGGCGGACCTCGCCGAAGCTCTCGACGTCGGCCCGCCTGCAGCGGGTCGCGCGGAGGAGGCCGCCGCCTCGGAGCCGCGCCTCCCGGCACCTCTCGACCGTCACCTTGCCGGCCTGCTCCGCGTCCAGGGACCGGCACCGCGAGACCGACACCTCCCGCGCGCCGTCGACGCGCGTCGCGCCGCACTGGACGAAGGACGCGGACCCCACGCCCTCGGCGGCCGCGTCGCCGCACAGGGTGAACACGACGGCGCCCCCTCCCCCGCCGCGCACGACGACGCTCCGGAGGCCGTCGGCGGAGAGGTTCCCGGGGCTGGTGACGGTGACCTTGCCGAGACTGCCCTGGAGCGTGCCCTCGTGGATGTCCGTCTCGACGCCGTCGACCACGACAACGAACATGTGGTGGACGGCGACCGCGGAGGAGGATCCGCCGGGCTTGGGGCCGACGAGCTCCATCGCGATGTGGTGCGGGCTTGCCATCCCCTTCTGGTTGTTTTGGTTGGTGAGCTATCGAGGAGTAAAGCGACGTTTAGTTATGAGGTCCATAGATGTTAAGAGGTGTGTACCCTTCTCAACTGCCAGTGCCCACTCCCAACTGTCAGTGCTGCTCTTTTCTTCGCTTGCACTGTTGCACATCCCATACACATCGGTTCCTCAAAAAAAATCATAAAAAACTTTTAATCAATCATGACAGTACCATCGGAACGGTGGTCTAATGTGTGAGACACTATTCATACCAAGGAACATCGCCGCTGCAAATGCCCCGCCCACGTGCAACCCTACTGAAGCCCCAAAGAGAGAGAAACTAGAGCTCCATCTGGTAGATAGGGGCATCACCACGCTCCCACACCGACATAGAAGGGGGAGGGGATGACGACCTGCGGGCGAAGGAGGGTTGACAACATGGCTGACAACATGGGGTGCCTAGAAAATCTCATCTCTAGGATTTAGATTTGGAGAGAAGATGACGGAGGGATAACAACATGGCCAGGATCTTACAAACTTAGTAGTACCTGGCCTTATATAGCAACTTAATAACGAGCCACTTCGTCAACACATTCACATTTAACAAATACTAGCTAAACTTCCTACAGGGAGCAACTAGTATAGAATCTGAGCTTCATGTGAAAGAATAGAAAAATGAAATCTGAGCCATTGAATGGGAGATGAATGGCACAGATTATGGTGGAGGGGACTGCTCCCACTTAAGTGTACATTTCACGAATCACCCCCTAGAAATAGATAGATATAAACATCACTTTTATAGTAACAACCTCATGTCTCTCATTTATTTCCAAATCGGCAGAATGTTAATGACAACTCTTTCAAGCATGTCAATATTTGATTATATGTGAAAATTAAGTCATCCCCTTGACGCACAACTAAATGTATATGTCAAACTGGATTATCCAAAACAGAGCTAATATTTTATATGAATTATGCAACATAAAATTGAAGTTAACATTAAGGTTATCTCGCAATACACACCCACATCTGAATAGGCTGCTGAAAATGTTTGTGAGCAAGGTATTCCATTTCTCTGTCGACTTTGATCCACATACATGCATGTGAAGTGATCCATAACATGAGATGATTATTTTTATTACATGACCAGCAAAACCAAATATTAAGTACTAAAATGATTAACCGCTCAGCGAGCATTTGCTATCTTGATTGTACATGACATAATATTGTTCAGTTGACGTTTGCCTCCGGTTCGAATGCTTGTCTCTCATCAAGCTTCATTTGCAGGGAGAGATAACATCAAACGAATATGATTCAGTTCAGCACAAGTCTGTTGGTGTACGTGCAAAAGAACTAAAATTATCTCGCACGCAAATGAGTTTCGCCCTTGCAGTCGTACACTTCTTCTGTCCATATGTACTCAAGATGCTTCTGGTGTCAGAGCATCACCCATCTACAAATACATGGACAATTTTATAGTTTACATCAAGGCAAGAAACTGGAAATAATTATGTTCTTTCGTGGACTAAAAGTCTGTAAGGTACACTCAGAGCTTACATATAAAAAAGACTGGTGGGCACACTCAGAGTGTACACAAGCATAAAAATACAAACTTATAACACAACTTAGCCTGCAAATAGCCGTAGAAAAGAACCGAGATGAATAATTATTTCCGGTGGCAGAGAAACCTACCTTTGAGGCTTTCACCATGATTCAGCTTCAAAGTGTAGCATTGATGCTGCTCTTTGCTCCCTCAATTCACCATGCTTTTCATTCGATTTGGATTCCAGTATGCAAGGCGAAAGACTTCAACGAGCACCACTACTAGAGAGAAGAATGTAAAAGAACAATGCTGCACTCATTTAGTATTCATATGTCCTGTGTATAAAATGGCATTTACAGCAGAACACTAGCAATGAGCAATTAAAACAAAATACTACAAAAATACAAACATTTCAGGACTGGATTGGGGCCAAAATTTGGCATGAGACCAAAACTTGGCATTTGATTGGTTGAACACCAAGCGTGAGCCCCTCTCTACAATTTTCCAAATATTGGCAACTTTTGATAGAAAATTGGCATAGATCTTAGTCTCAAACATTCATGCCACTTTAAGACTAGGGCCACAACTTGATTCAGCATGTAAAGAAAGCAGCTATGCAAAGCAGAAATGAAGCAAATATTTTCTAAATCAACTTTGGAAATATGTTGCGATGCATATTATTTGCTATTTTCAAGAATGCACAAGAATCCCAGGACCAAGTGAAACAACTTCTCAGGCCATACCTGTTGTGCTCCCCCCTTATATGTATTCAACCAAATTTCTGAATCGTTGGTTCAAAATTAGTTGAATCTCCTGTTTGTGGACAAGAAGCTTTATAGCCATCAACTAAAAAAATAGGAGATCTCCCCTTATCACATTACACTAACTAATCATGCGTCTTGTATGCACTAAATAAGTGAAGGGTTCACTCTCCCCACTAAACCAGTCAAACACCTTGCGATGCACTACTTTATAACAGAATTAACACACCCTTAGCATGTCTGAGAATCGATGTAACCAAAGCATCAACAGATTAACGATCTACAGGCTAAAACATGGCATCAATTTGACTTCAGGTTCAGATTTAATTGGTTCTCGTATTAATCTAGGAACTCTGTACATAGCACGATTCATCCAAAGCAGTCACATGCCCATATATAACGATAATATTGCATGTAATGGCCGTCACTGCATAATCCCATTGTTATTTAGTGATTTCGGATGGTACACATTGGTGCCCGTGTACAATTGCTCTGATTTAATGTCTTCATCAGCCGCCTCATTAAGGCCCAACCTTCCTGTAGATCCCTCATCTACCCTAGCAGATCTTTGACGAATGTGCACATAGAAATCTACGTGAGAGAGGAGGAAGTAGGAGTATCAGAGTATACCTTGATCCTGGGCGTGAGAGGCGAAGGAGGAGCCCACCACCGGCTTGCCGCCAGCGATCTAGGATCTTGAGAGGGGGCAGAGGCACGGATCACGCCGACAAGCCGCTCCAAGGGCCTGAGAGGGGAAGGGGATGAGTAGCCCCCATCTGCTTGCCTTAGGCGAGCTACTGTAGTTGCCGGAGATGGGGATTGGGGAGGGATGCGAATCTCGACCGCCGCTACTGTCCACAAGCGGGAGGGAGATGGGCGAGGGGGAGGGTGACTCGTGGTCGCGTTTGGAGGAGGATGTCGGGAGAAAATTAACAAGAATAGAGGGTCCTTTTTGCTAACCGTGCGCAAAGATCCCACCACCAAAATCTGTACCATCCATCTCAATGCTAACGGCTCAGATCATTTTTTCTATTTTTTCACCCGAAGCTCATCTTCTATTCTAGTCGTTCCCCTTCCTACAAGGAAGGGAGGATTAGAAAAGTCTTGTTGATTGTTGTTTTCTTCAGACCGCCAGGAAAAGCATAAAAGAAGGGGTTGAATGGTACGATCCCTTCGTCACCCTAGAATGAACCCATGCATTGCAACAGGAGCAATCTCTCCCTAATTTTTTAATAATAAAGCACGGATTGAGTCTTCGGGTTCACCGTCGCGGCGTTTTTATAAAATAGTCCCTTTGCTTTTCGAAAATAGAACCTGCAGTTCTTTATTATTAGGTAAAGATAAAGATACGTGAGGTGATACTAAATTTCGTCCGTTTGGACCTGGGCGCCGCACGCACTGGGTTGGCCATCGCCCGTGGCATCACCCAACATCTTTGGTATGTGATTGATACCCTAAAGTATAATCTTCCAAAAATCAATCAATAGTCCTGACTAGATGCACTTTCGTCAGAAATTATCCGTGTGGAACATGAGTTGGAGTCAAACTTCACCTTCCTCGCCGCCTTTGCTACCCTCCAATAAATATCGGTTCCCAAAATGAGGGGAGTAGAGGAGAAGCGGACGAGGATGCGTACGCCCAGTGTAAATTTTATCAAACGTCGGTGCCCCTCCTGCCTAGCGGAGCTCTGAGCCGAGTGCGCCGAGTGCGCCGTGCATGATGGCACCCTTCTTCCCGACCGTCTCAGCACACCATAGGCCGCCGCCGCGTACCTCATGCCTCCTCCTCTCTCGACTGCGCTGCCGCCCCGGCTACTCGCGCGCCCGTTGCCGCTTGCTCCTGCGCGCCACCGCATCTTCTTCGACAGCAACGGGACGCGTCCTTCTGGCACACGGGCAGCGCATCTCCTTCCGGCCATGAGCATGTCGCTTCTTTTCCGCCACCTGTTTGCCATGTCCATCGTCAACTGCGAACCACATCTACCGGTGCCCCTTTTGCCTTTTCTCGGCAAGATCTTTTGCGCATGAAGACGCGTCCTCCTGAGGGTGGACGGGGGTCGGGCCCTCATCGAGCTGCCGTTTGGACCGGCCGCCGGCGGTCTAGACCGGACAGGACCGAGCAACTTCGCGCTCCTGTTTTTAGGAACCAGACATGCGGAGTCAAAGCTCGGTCTGGACTGAGAGGACCAGCCATGGCGAGGTGGCGGTAACCATGACGTTAGCTACGGGTCCTAATCAGAGGGGGAAACAAAGGGAAAAGCTATGGGGACTCACGGTGAACCCGACGGCGAGGTCGGTGAGGCCGGGGAAGCAGCAACGGCAAGGTAATCGACGACGAATGACGATACTCGGACTTGGAGTTGGAGGATGATGGCGAGGGCTTCAGGGTGAATTCGGCCGAGTCCTTGCGCGGGGAAGGAGATCTCAAGGTTGCGGACCTCCTGGACAAGGTTGTTCGTTGCGGGGAAGCCGAGGGCCGTGTGTGCTGCGCGCGGTGGCCATGCATGCTCTGCTTGTGCCTGTCCGCACCCAGTCGTGCGTGCACTGGTCCTCCCGTGGGCTCCAATTTGCACCATGACTTGTTGAGCTTGACCCGTCGGTCCTAGCTCCAGATGCACCTTGGCCCGTGGAGTTCAGCGCCACCGCATCAGCCATCACACGGAGCTGCTACTGCTGCTCTTGTGCTCTAATTTTCTTGGATGCTTAAGCAAAACTAATGAGGAGAGAGAGGGAGAGAGTGTATCGGTGGTTACAGAGAAAAAAATTATATGAGACTAGGTCTCACGGTTAGCAGGTGAGACCTGTCCTGATGGATGACACGTGGCATTCACAAATCACAAAGCATCTAATCTCTCTCCCCCCTGATTTTAAGTGGGGGTGGGGGTGCTTTGTGATTTG